CAGCACAATGAGGAGACTAGCAAGAGATAACACGGTCAACCTACAGAGACCCACAGAGTGAGCGAGGTAAGCTCTCTTGGGCTGGAGTCTTGCTGGCAGAGTGGGATGCCAAAAGGCACTTGGCAGAGCCAGGCTCTCCAAGTGCTTAGAATTGTGACCATTGAAAAGACCTCAGGCACAGTCCAGCTACAGAAGACCCAGAGTTTGTTCCATCAACAGAACATGAAAAGAAGCTGTCATGATTAAGAACTATATTCCGAGTTGTATATTGTTACTTCTCTAATAAGCCTTATCACCATGAATATGGCCTTTGAGTTCTGTATGGCTACTGCAATGAATGATTGCATCCATTATAGAAGTAGAGTATTGTGGGAGGAGGGGTAGTTGGTGTCAGAATTGGTAAAAAGGCTGATACCTGACTTAGAATCATCCGTAGGCAATTGATGTTGATGCTAATTCTTCTCCCCCCTTGTGAAGTAAAAAAAAAATCATACACCTACTGCCACACCGTTTTTATACATTCTGGAAGAGATTGTAGACTGCTGTTTCTTTCTTAAATGTTTAGAAGAATTCAGTGAAACCATGTGGACCTGTTGCTTTCTATTTTGGGCATTTAGTTTTCAAAACAGATTTTTGGCTAGCTTTCCATGCAGTTGATACAGTTCATGGCAACACCATGATGAGGAATCTGACAATTACCTATTTCTCATCTGTGAGTTTTAGGAGAAGTGTCTTTTAAGGAATTGGCTTGTTTTGTTTTTTAAGCTATGAAATTTATGGACATAGAAATTTCCATAATACTTCTAAGATTCATTGATTTACATGAAGAATTTGGGAGAATTGGTTTGAAATATTTAGTAGGGGAGCACAGGATGATAGACCTTGGATTCTACATAAGTGAATTTGGATTTTTAATTATATAGGAGGAATCCTTCCTGTTTCTTATGAAGGAATGTGATGTGATAGAATTACTTGAGGGAGAAGAAAACAATCCTAATAGGCTAGGCTGATTGAAGGGTGAGGAATAGTGAGCAGACCTATTGCCGCAAACATAACAAAAGAAGTGTGATCAAAACAAAGAATTAATTAGGAATTATAAGGTCATGGCATGAGAGAATCTGAAAATTAGAGAAAGGAGTGAAACAGTCTCTTGCTTTATCGTAGAAATCTACTGATCATACAGATAGATAAAGCTAGGAGGTTGAACTGTGATTTTTATTTTCATTTCATTTTCTGAGCTGTGAGCTTTGTAGAGAGAAAAAGAGTTACTGAATTCCTGGCCCTAGCAAGAGTGGCAGTTGAGTTAACCATCTCGTCAAAATTGAAGATGATCTTCATGTGGATATTAACTTGAATTAATTATTGTAGTCCCAGACTGTTAATGTAGCCAGACACTTGACAGAAGCAAATGTAACTCTCTGAGAAAAGAACATAATCTAAGACCGCAAACTATTTCCTCATACTATTTTTCTAGTTAAAACATACAACTCTGGGATCTTTGATATTAGAATTGTCTGACCCAGATTTATTTACTTTTTTCTTTATTTTTTTAAATCATTTTATTAGGGGTTCATACAATTCCCATCACAATCCATACATACATCAATTGTGCAAAACGCATTTGTACATTCATTGCCCTCATCATTCTCAAAACATTTCCTCTCCACTTAAGCCCCCGGCATTAGGTCCTCATTTTTCCCCTCCCTCCCCGCTTCCCCTCTCCCATGAGCCCTCGATAATTTATAAATTATTTTCTGACCCAGATTTAAATGGGTATGTTCTTAACAAGGAACTGCAAAGTATTAGATGTCATACAGATAATAAAAAGAACCATTGGAAGTTGTACAACTAAACAAATAAGAAAATAATTCGGTAAGTGAGCTTAACAGCAGATTGGACAAAACTAAAGAAGTTTAAATATAAGGTCCAAAAGAGCCAGATTTTAGTATGCAGACTAAAGATTTAAAATGCAAAGATTAATAGGGGAAATTGTCAAAGGGGACCCTAATTTGCTAAGTAAACTTATACCTAGAACAGTTGTAGAAAAGAAATGTTTTAAGTGCTGAGGTAGTTATATAGACTACTTCTAGTCAAAGTAGATACTAATCTTTTCAAAATAACCATTGTGTTGTCAAGATGACAGACTATTTAATAAATGGAGATCAAAACAAGAAAAAATTTTTTTTGTCTAAAAAGAACTTAAATTTGTTTTTTATAAAAAAAAGCAGAAAATGGTTTCCTACTCCATAGCTCCATTCTTAAGTTGTCCCTCTTAAGACTGGTCACAGTTTGAAAGTTTGTTTGGCAGCTTCTATAGTGGATCAAAAGCTATAAATGCCAATATATCCTAGCTTTAAGAAACTTGTGCAGGAACAATTTGGAGCCAAATGAGGAATAGGGCCAAATGAGGAATAGGAATTAAGTAAATTGGAAAATAAAAAAAACTTGGTTTTTTGGCTAAGAAAATGAGACAGTAAAGCCCATGTAAGGCAGAAACCTGTCAAAAGGAAAACACATATGTTCCATTAATAGCACACAATTGACAAGTGGTAAGACTAGACCCTTGCTGGGTGGAGAAACAAGGCAACCCCATCGAGTGCGCATGTCTTACTGTATAATAAAGAGGTTACTTTTTCTCCAATCAATATATTCTCAATGTAATTGTAATACATGTTCAAATAGGATTTCTTTTACTCCACCAAAATGATTTTGTATTAATATGTAAAACTGAACATGGAATAATAGCCAAGATGAGATAAGAACAAAAAAAGTCCTTAACAAACATTGAAAATTATTGAAAGCCACAAAAGTTGAGTATATAAACTTAAGTGAAAAATTGATATATGGTAATGATACTGTTTAAGATCAATGAAAGTTATATTAGTCACTCTTTAAGAAGAAATTTGAATGTTTATAGTAAGAAACTTTTGAATAGAAAGGCAATAAGATAATCCTCATGGAATTTATGTTCCAGCAGCAAAGATCAAATAAACAGTGATTGCAGTTAGTAACGTGACAATTGAAGTTTAACATCTACCCAGAGGTACCTCAGAAGAAAGGCCAGGCAGTCTACTTCTAAATAATTAACCACTGGGAAAAACCTTCAGGCCTGTTCTACTGATACACATGAGGTTTCCATGACTCAGTTAACTAGAGCACGACTAATTTTGGTTGTAATGTGAAAAGTATTGTGAAAGAGTACTCAACCCATTACCAAACCCATTATTGTCAAATGGATTCAGTCTCATAGCAATTCTATAGGACACAGAACTGCCCCTATATAGGGTTTGCAAAACTATAATTCTTTATGAAAGCAAACTGCCATATCCTTCTTTTCTGGGGTGGTTGATGGGTTTGAACATGGTAGAAGGCTATGATGTGAAGGAATCTTATTTAATTGGGGGTGAGGAGCTGTCAGGAGGCTTATTTGCAGAAGTAAAGTTTACTGAGACCTCAAGGCACCAAGGTGTTCCATATTTTGAAGTAGACCAATAATTTTTAATATTTGCAAACCATTTGGTGGAGGAGAATCCCAAACTCGGGATATGAATCAGTATTTTGGGGGGGTACATGAGGTATTTTGGTAGTAAATATCAAAGAATAAGTTGTTTATGCTTTTTGTATTTCCAGTTCTGGTTGTTTACTCAAAGAAGATACTATCAGATATATGTATAGATGTATTGTATGCACATGCATATTTTAATCTAGAGCTGATTTATTATAGATCACGTGACTCTGCTTTAGTTTACATTGGTTAAGTGTATTATATACCTACAGTGAAAATCCTAGGTTCCTCACCTCCCAAAGTATACCTTTGTTTATTGACAAAGATGCCTGCTACATATTTTGTAGTGAAAGAAATAGGTTATAAAACTGGAGTATGAAAGAAAACCTGGAGTATGGTGGTGTTTAGAACAAGTTCTATACATCTGTGTGTCTGTGCATTCATAGAATACTTTCTAATATGCTTACCCAAGTATTCATGGAGTTGTTGGTTCCTTATAGTCAAGTTTTGCATGATAGAGGCATTGTTCCTGTTTTTATTATTTCTTTATGCTTTTTGTTTGATGATAAAACTTGGTATCTTATGGTGTTTTTTTTAATGTTTTCTCAGATATAATTCACAGCAAAGCATGTTTCTCTGTTTTAAATATACTCTCATTTTAAAATATTACAAGAGGCCAAGGACTGTGTCACATCTGGATTAATGGAAAGCATTGTGCTAGAATTCTGTAGATAGTACTTTGTACGTATACTCAAGATACTTTAGTATCTTAGATCTTGACCTAACTATATTTGGATGATAATTCTCTGTAAAGTATATTTTATAAGATGCCTTGATGGTTTGTTGGGATAAGCGTTGTACTGCTAGCATAGACAGTGTGAGAAACCATTTGGGACAGCTCTACTGTTTTTTAGGGTCACTATGAGTCGGAATTGACTCAATAGCAGTGGATATGGGTGATAGATTTTATGTAGATACTTTACAAAATGTTTTTTTTTTACTTTACAAAATGTTTTAAGGTATATATTTTTTCTTCCCCTTCCTTATCCCAGTAATTAAAAAGTATTTCATTTCCAAAGAATATTTTGAAAGCATTTTTTACATGATTCGTGACTAAAGTTGTGCTTTTTAGCGATAAACTTTCTTAACTAACTGATATTGACTGGTTTAGATAAAACCATTAATAAAATTAATTCACTTATAAAATACAGCCTAGCCTTTTAAAGAATACTACTCTTCATAAAGTACCACTAGTACTGTTATAATACTAATAGCTTAATTTCCCAAGAGTCTTCTTATTAAAAACAAAGATGCCGCCCCCCAAAGAAAAGAAGCAATGAAGACCCAATATAATTTTTCCTCTGAGCCAAAGAAGTTGTGATCTTGGTTTACTTTAATTCTGTTCGTGCTGTCCCCTTTAGAAAATCAGGTTTTTTTGAGAGCTCTAACAGTGTGCTATTGCTGGGCTCTCATCCTTTCTGTTTAAATAATGCAGGTACTTTGATGGAAACCTGGAGAAGCTCTTTGCTGAGTGTCATGTAATTAATCCAAGTAAAAAGTCTCGAACACGCCAGATGAATACAAGGTCATCAGCACAGGATATGCCTTGTCAGATCTGCTACTTGAACTACCCTAACTCGGTGAGTATCTGGTAGTTTAAGGTTAGCACTGACTGTTTTAGATGGTGAATCAACTTTCATTATTTAGAACTAAGGAAAATTTGGGGGGCTTGGAATTGTTGAAAAGCAATAACCTATTAGGGCACCGAGGTTAAAGAAGGGAAGAGAAAATTAAAAACTTGGATCCCCGTATTATTTGCTTGTTACAGCAGCTTGTCCAGTGTCTCGATATGCACCTAAATATTTCCCATTTCTTCTACCACGATTGGAAGAATTAAGAAATAATTTAGGCAGTGAGTAGAGTTGTTTTTTACACAAATAAAGATGGACGTAAAGCTTCAGAGTTTTGCCTTTAAAAAAAAATACCCCAAACATCTTTAATATTACTTCACAAAGGGGCCTTTTGGATTCTTCATAAAGAAGAGATTTTCACTTATAGAAATCCATTCTACTGGAGATTTTTTAATATGTGAAGAGAGAGACTTGAAGCAGAAAACAGGGCCAATCAAATGATTGGTGCTAATCTTTAGGAAATGAGATGTGATTATGAGATGAATTGACAACAGTGGTCTCTAACATTGTGAGGATGGTGTAGGGCTGGACGTTGTGAAAGTTCTGTTGTACCTGGATTTGCTATGAGTCAGAACCTACTTAGCAGCACATACCAACAACAACAAAAGTATATTTCAAATTAAAACAATTTTAGAGTATCTAATAAGATAAATTTAAGGTGTAACTAAATATAATTTCCGTATAATGAATGTCTTCTTTATTGTTAACCATAGGAAAATTATATTTGTGGCATAAAGGGGTTTAGTTACTTGTGATTAATCTTTATGATGTTTCAAGAACTGTGAAAAGTAATTTAATTCTATTGCCATTATATAACGATCATATTTATATTCTCTGCTTAATAGTTAAGTAGATTTTTCTTGTAATTACTTTATGCAGGTCTCTAGCACCAATATTATATATTTAAATACATTGAAGATTTTTCTTAGAGTTTTATATGTATACCTCTAAAGAGACCCATTTTTAAAAAGTGAGCTAATTTGTTCATATGTTCAAGTAATAGAAAAGAAGGAAATTTCTGTTACATTTTTTAAAGATATTGATACTCCTGTAGAATTTTTTTTTATCATTGAGCTAAAATAATTTATAGGGTGTTGAATTGAATTTCTAAATTCCCAAGTTCTGATCATAGCTCTAACATTAAACATTGGCTTTGATTAAGTAGATTTTAAAATCTCTTGGATTAGCTTCTTTTCTGCTTTTAAATAAATGAGTTGAGTAAGCTATTCTTTGAACTCTTTACCAGCCTAAGAATCCAGCCTTGGATTTTGAACTTAGGTGCTATGAAGGAATACATTACGATAAGGCTGTTACACAAAGGAACTTAAACTGAATTTGGTGGTGACGAAGTATAAGAGAAAGTTTCCAGATAAATGGAATTAAAATATTAATGGCATTTGCCTAAGAACTTTTGAAGCCCCTCTTGGAGTACTGACAGTATATAAATGATTCTATGAGAGTAATATAAAGACTCTAATAATTTCTCCCATATAATACAGGATTTTTTTATTTCTCGGCATTTTCCATTCCATTTCTCTTTTATTTAAATCTGAACTATAATTTGACTAAAGAAGGTAGCTGCCTACATATAGCCCTATAATTTTGCATTCCCAGCTCTTATCTGTATGCTCAAAATTTAGAGTTAAAGTTGTTACCAGAGATCTGGAGTATAAATTTTCCCTTGTACTTTTATTCGGGGATGAACAATCCACTATTGATTCATTCAGCATGCTGGCCACGAGTCAGGCATTAGGAACACAATGGAGAATACATACACATAGCCTTCAAATAATTTACTGATAAACTGACTGAATACGTAAAAAAAGATATTCGGAGAAAAATGGTAAGTGTTTTGATAGGGCAAACACAAGGTGCAATACTTTGGGAACATGTTGGAGGAATGCCTAATCCAGTTTGGGATCAGGTAGGACTTCCCACACAAATTGACATTTGAATTAATCTCTGAAGTAGGTTAGTTAGGTGAACCAGGAAAATGTAGGAACTCAAGCCAAAAGAAGAAAATGTTGAGACTGATGATGAACACTACTAAAAGCTTGAGGGAAAAGTGAGTTTGGAATTAACCATTTACTGGTGACGTTGGAATGTTACTTTAAAGTACTTTTTAAAAGGAAAGTTGAATACTTACCTGGCAGGGAAGATACCATGATCACGAAGGTGGTTTTCCCAGGGCGAGGCTTATCCATTGCACTCCGAATGTGCTGACCCCTGCGATTTCCCAAATGTGGGAAACTCGACTGCATAATTTGTGGTAGTGGGGGACTGCGTTCGCGCTCTCCCCTGGAAAAAAAATAAAATAAAAGGAAAGTTGACTGTATAAGTGACAGGACAACATAGTGTGAGGTAAGGAGTTATGGAAAACTTATCAAAAATATGTAAATGATGAAATTATAACTTTTCTCCTAGTTTTTAGATTAATATAGGGCAATTTTAACTCCTTCAGCTTCAGGAGTAAATGTACCTGAAATCCTTCATTAAACTTGTATTTGTTGCCTGCATAATTTCTTCATTATGTTATGTAACTAATATTACAACTTTGTTCTTTAGACATTTACACTACCCCCTTTTGCAGTACTTTTCTTTTTCTAGAAAGCAATTTGAAACTTTTTAAGAATGTGATGCTTGTGATGGGTTGTAACCCATAGAGCTGAAAATTCTGGGTAGATTCTACCGTCAAAGCAATTTCCTGATACTTGGAGCTCTCTGGAAATACATCAGTTTTCTCTTCCATTGTCTGAGTTGTGACAAATTTAATGATTCCTTAACCAGTGAGCTACAAACCCCAGTGTTTACCGGGTTTGTGGTTTTTAAAACTATTAAGAATTTTAAACAACAACCAATATGAATAATGTTTTGAGTCAAAGTGGCTTTTAAGTCCAGTTGTTCTAACCTTTCTGATTAATAGTCAATGTTGCATGGCCTGCAAGAGCTCATTTATTAATCTATAGTGGTATGGTGATTAAATGCTTTACTGTAAGGAAAAGATGTTACAGTTTGGTTCTGTAATGATTTACAACATGAAAACACTAAAGAGAAGATCTCTATCCTATATGCTCACTCTGAGTAGGAATTGACTACAGCAATGGGTAAGCATAAGTTATTTGGCTAACCTGGGAGGTACCCGAAACCCACTTCTGTGAATTATGACTCATAGTTACCCTATAGGACAAAGTAGGATTTCTCTCTAGAGTTCCCGAGATTGTAAATCTTTGCAGGAAGAGTCTCATCTTTCTCCTTTGGAACAGCTGGTGAGTGTGAGCCACCAACCTTATGGTTAACAGCCCAATGTGTAACCTACTTTGCTACTATTAAAAAAAAATACTCCCAAACCTTACAACATGAACCCTTAAAGTTACAAAAGGTTATCTGGTCATTTGGTTTTCAGATTTTTTCATCCAAAAATTATTTTTAAGTAAATCAAACCATACACGAGACAGAATTAATGATTATGAAGGTCCCTCACCCCATGAAATCAGAGTGCTCCTAGGACCACAGTTTGAAAACCTCTGATCTGTCTTCATTGTGTATGTTCCTGTTCTCCTCATTCCATTTTATAAGTGATAAGAGAATTAAGGGCTTCCAGGTCAGCCTAATTCAGTCATGACTGACAAAGCATCACTGGAACATATTATGACTTTTAAAATGTGGGTCAACCAGAACAGGAAAAATTATAGTTTGAAGCTTTGTGAGAAATACATCTTTCCCTTATAAAATAAGGGCAACAAATTCATAACATGACAACTAAATTTTGACCAGTTGAGTTGAAAACAATGATAGCAGACTCAAAGATTGGTGGCCACTGGAGCCAATTGAATGTGTGTCACTTTTTACAGCCCTTGTAACAGAAAGGCTCCTTTTCTGGTCTTGTATCATTTACTCTGACTAAACCAGTTCAAAGCCCTGGAGAGCACTAATTTCTAGATTATTTGTTGTTTCTATAAGCAAAATGACTTCAGTATTAGGGAAGATAGGTAAGATAGTTTTGAACGTTCTTTCTCCTGTTGGATATTAGCTGTGATATTGTGAGGTGGCGGAGATAAAGGAAACCTTTAAAAGTATGTTTTATTGTTTGTTCTTTTTCTTTAGATAATTATTGTTGTAAGTATATTTCATAAATTTTAAATGTATTGGTTGAATGTATTTCTAATATAAATAGAAACGAATAGATAATCTGATCCCCGGAGTCAGAGAAAGGCCTAGGGAGCCAAGTTGATGAGCACAAGGTAGCACACACATGCCAAAAGAAGACGAGGAGGGAAAGGGAAATACTACGGGAAGATACCCAGATTTTGCTGCGATTGCGCAACGAAAATAGGCATCACTAGATTATCCGTTGGTATTTATCTTTATACATGCTTATGTAATTTATCTCATTAATTTTGTTAGCTAATTAGAATGTTGAAAAGGAACTTGAAAGAATTTTTATCTAATAGTATTTTATTTACTTACTTATTTGTAATAGTATATTAGTTTTATCTGCTAATGTAACAGACCTTGAACTAACTGGAAGTCCTAGAGGTCAAAGTTTTACTTAGAGCGATCATTTTGAGTGGTAGTTATATCTTCAACAACTTAATTTCTATGTGAAAAAAAGAATAAGACACATGGGGATGTTTTTGTTCTTAACTTTGGAGTAATACATTTATCTTAGATAATACTTTCCTGTCTGCACTTTTGGCCTGTAAACCAACAAGCTAGTGCCAGCATGCTTTCATTCATGGGGGTGATTAAGAATAGATTCTTCTGTTTCCCTGAGTACTACTATTACTACCCACCCCCTTAAATGTTCAAGAATACTGATTTTACAAATACTTCCTTTTATATTTGTTCTATGAATGTTAAATCACTGTTACTCTGAATAGCACTGCATTTATAATCTTACTAGATATTACATGTCCTTCATTTTATATCACAACTCTTCTTTTTTTGTGCCAGCTTCCACATATTTTTATATGGTGAGATGATATATATAAAATTTTACATCATATCTACCTGCATGGTCAAACTAAGAAATTTCATTAACATATTTCATATAATAGCTAGCTAGAATTTATAATTGAGTTTTTAAAATGTCAATTGTAGGAGCTACCCCAAAAAAAAGAGTGAATGAACTTGGCAAGAAATGTGAAAGATCTAGAGGAAAGATATTTCTGAAAACACCTCAAATACTAAGGGATATGGAAGGATGAATGGAGAGTTTAAATAGAATGATGAAGAACCTGGAAATACTGAAAAAGAAAAGTAGTTGTAAGCTAGAACTACTAGATAGATGAATGAGTGGAACAGGGAGAGTCAATATGCATGAAAGTTTAGAGTGTGATATAGGAGGCATTTCAGATCAGATAGGTTATTAAATAAATTATGTAGGAACAATTGGGTAGTCATCTGGGATGTAAATTCAGGTTTCTTTGTAATGTATAATATTAAAGCTAATTTCAGAATGAATAAATATATATGCAAAATTTTAAAACCTAAGAGGAAAAAATCAAGTATAAGAAAACATTACAGATGCCTTTATAAGCATGACTTAAACTCAAAAGACATAAATTACAGTGATAAAGATGGAGAGCTGCTCTTGAGTTGACTTGGACTAATGATGAATGACCTTGAGTACAACATAATATGTTGCCCGCTCCTTTTGTCTTTCTCACAATTAAGTCCAAAGCCAGACAGCCAGATAGTATTCTGTTCTGTTGTGTCCGTGAATAAGGCTTTGATTGGCCAATTTTCAGAGTAAATTGCCAGGGAATTCTTCCTAATATTACAGCTCTGGAAACTCCACTTGAGACTTGTCTACCATGCATGATCTTGCTTGTATTTGAAATGCTGGTGTTATCACTTGCAACATTATTGCATCATGCAAGCCACTCCAGCATGACAGATTGACATACAGGTGATAGAATTTTGTAAGAACCCCCCCCTAAGTCACTTGGAAAATGAGCAAGCCATGTGAAGGAAAAGTATACAGAAAAGAAATATGCTAATCATAAATCTTTTTACAAATGTTTAAATTTCCCTTCTAATAAGAGAAATTCAAATAAATGCTAACAAAGTATCCTTTTGATTGGCAAAGATTAAGAAGTTGAGGATAATAATGCTATGTGTTGCTTCTGGGTGTGAGATGAAACCAAGTACTCATTTGCACATTAGAAAATACTGGTAGTCTGTATCAAATTATAAGTGGATACTTGGTCTTAAGTTTGGAATTTTTTCCCTAAATCTATTCATATGGTCACAATGAGATAATGCAGTTGTATGATAGGAAAAAGTCTAAATAAGGGTTCTTTAAAAAATATTTTCATATGCACAGAGGAGGAGGCTGTTTAAATAAATTGTGGTACATTCATAATAATCTTTAAAAATAAATAGGTCCCTATGTAAAATGTGGGACCACATGAGAGAGAATCCATTACATATATAAAAGCAAAATGTAAAACAGGATGTCCACACACTAGAAAGATAGAAGTATTCTTATATGGTTTGTTTGTACATGAGAAAATTTTGAAAGGATATATAAGGAATTGGGATATTGCACTTTCTGGGTGGAGGACAGAAATGACGATGAGGGACACTTTCTATATTAACTCAACCATATGAATATTGTTTGTTTAATTATGGTATATATTATGAAGTATGTTCTGAAACAATATTTTAAACATTATTTGAATTTTAAATATATAGATAATTTATCAGACTCTAATATCATTTTAATAGTTATATCCCTTTATAGAATATAATTCAGCCAATCCTCAAGTTAATAGTGTATCAGCACAAAGCAATGTCTAAACATAATCTATGTTTAGAATAAAAATTTACTATTCTGACTAAATCTTTGCTGTAGTTTTGCTTTGTTTTTCCTTCTAGGCAGGTCCTGGATTTTTATGTGTGTGACATTTTTATAATAGCCTTGTTGAGATATAATTCACATACCATACATTTCTCCACAGTGAAGTGGATTTTAGTATTTTCAGAGTTGTACTGCCAGTGTCCACAATTAATTTTAGAACGTTTTAATGATCCTGAAAGGAACTACTTAAGTCATTAACAGTAATTCCTCATTTTCCAAGCCTCCAAACCTTAACAACCACTAGTCTATTTTCTGTTCCTATAGATAGATGTGCCTTTTCTGAACCTTTCCTATAAATAGAATCATATGATATGTAGTGGGTTTTTTCCCCGATAAGTATGTAGTGTTTTGTGATTGATTTCTTTCACTTAACATAGTGTTCTCAAAGTTCATCCATGTTGTAGTATATATCAGTACTTGATGTTTTGTTTGTTTTGTTTTCCCCCCCCCTGCAAACACAACATTTGAGATTTTTTTGAAGTTGCAATCATTGCAGGATAGAGGGAAATAGGGGTTGGGGGCAGGAGTTAATGCCTTGGGTGAAAGTTCTCAGCACAGAATGAAACTTTTACATGTGGCAGACATCTTTTTTTGCATGTTATCTCCATAATCTATTTTGAACTTTAGGCAAAGTTAGACCTGCCTGAAATCTAGTGAGTATCTAGTGACAAGTCTGAGAAAGTTCTGTTAGAGGGAAGGCTGATCGTTTCTTGGGTCAAAAGAAAGCAGCTCAAAATGATAACTCAGGTTGTCACCTGGTGAGTGATCGTATGTCGCATTACCATTTAAGAGGAACCGAAAAACTTGACTGAATTTGGGACATGGCTTTTTTGTGGGAGGTGGGGAGAGGTGAGGGAGACGATGTCATAGGCCAGGTGGGTAAGTGAACACTGGATACTTTTCCTCCAAAGCTGACAAGGCCTCGTGTCAGTGCCTCCCCAATTCTGCCTTCAGAAGAGTCCGTTATTGAACACTTTGTTAGTCCATTTTTGTCGGGTGACTGAACAAAATGGCAATGTTAGTGTTTAAAGGTTACTCCCTTTGTGGCCTTGAGAGGGCTCTTTATCTTCCAGCTTTGCCAGCGAGATATTACCTGGAAGGGCCACGAAATACTCCTCCACGACCCGGTGAAAGTTCTGAAGTAGTTTTTCAACACAGTTGCCTTCTTTTACATCATCAGATCTCAGGTACAGGCACCTGTCCTCCAGTACCGACTCCATGGGCTCCACGCCGTCTGTGTGCACTGCGTGGAGCCGGTTGGCAAAGGCGATGGCTTTCTCCAGCTGCGCCACAGCCTTGCGGCTGCCAAAATCCACCAGCGCCAAGCGCTCCAGGTGTTCGATCACCTCGACCGTGATCGGACGGCTTCCCTGAGGACCTATCTTGCAGGTGAACAGCCAGCAGCCGCCCGACCCATGCCCACATTTTCCTCCTCTCGGCCCCTGTAGTAGTACTTGACGTTTTTATCACTAAATATTACCCATTTATTGTTAATCCACGTTTTATAGATTGTGCTGTTGTGTTTTGTTTGAATACCTGTTTTCTTTTAGGTACAGTATATGCCTAGGTGTAAAATTGCTGAGTCATATAGTAACTCAGCTGTTTATTCTTTTGAACTGCCAGAATGCTTCCAAAGAGGCTTATTTGTACATTTTCATTAACATTATGTAAAAGTTCAAATTTCTCCATATTCTCATCAACACTTAATTGTCTGTCTTTTTATTATACCTTCTTCTTCTGTATGAAAGATTAGCACAAAGAGTTTGTTTTACTGCTAACTCAAATGTCGTGGCTTCAGCCCACAATCTTCGGCTGTAAAGTACAGCCACGAAAACCCTGTGGTGTAGTTCTGTCCTGTAATCAAGAGCCAAGAGTCAGAATCAACCATGGATCTGGGCCTGTTTGTTTTAGATTAGTGGGTGTGAAGTGGTATCTCATTGTTTTGACTTAACATTTCCTTGATGACTAAAGATACTGAGCATCTCGTTCATGGGTTCATTGATACAAGACATGTATAATATACCACAAGTGTAAATATTGTTCCCTGCCTTTTCTAAAAATTATAAAGCTCTACTGTAGGTGCATTTCTCATTAATGGCGTGTTTGGTGTTCATCTATTTCCATGTCGATTTCATTATCTAGAAGTTCATTTTAAGAGCCCATGTTCTTGTCACACTGATTAGTTAGCTACTAAGAACTGTGGTCCTAGTTAGACCGCTTTATGAAGACTAATACGTGGGTGTTGAGTGAATTTTTAGATGTCATTATTAAAAGTCCATGGCTTATTTATTTATTTTGCAGTATTTCACTGGCCTTGAGTGTGGACATAAGTTTTGCATGCAGTGCTGGAGCGAATATTTAACTACCAAAATTATGGAGGAAGGCATGGGACAGGTAAAGAAACAAATTCATTTTTCAGGTTTTAGTAAATTTTCTATACTGTTTAGACCTATGTACACATAATCAGGTCAAGCTTTCTGGGTTATGAATTGCATAGGGAAGACCTCTTTTCTGTTCCTTTAGTATTCTTTAGTAGTTATCTTGGGGGCTATTCTTCAAATACAAACTAAAAGATAACTGCAGCCCTTTTCTTCTTACAGTATGTCATTCCAGGCATTGATTCAGTCTAGGTAGAGTTTCCCCAGTACACGTCACATTTGGGCGTATCAGGCTAAACTTGTAGTTGAGCAGTTCTGCCAAGTATCTTGTTTTCTTTAACTAGAAAGAGAGGGACTTAGGTCTTATAAATGTTAAGAAATCTTCAGAAACAAAATGCTGCCATTTGATAAATATTTGTTGAACGAAGACATAGTTCTCATTTTCATCAATCTTTTGCAGACAATTTCGTGTCCTGCTCATGGTTGTGATATCTTAGTGGATGACAACACAGTTATGTAAGTATTTATGTAAGTATTTTGCATGTTGAATATTGGTTATTCGTTTGTTAACTAGTTAAACCAAATTAACTATCTCAGCATCTCAAAAGATTTAAAGTCTTTAAAATGTTTTATTATTGTTTTAGGTAAAAGTTTATACAGCAAATTAGACTCCCATAAAACGTTTTTTATACAAACCGTTCCATGATTCTGAGACATTGGCAGCATCTTCATAACACGTCAGCCTTCTGGCTCCTTCCATCCTTTTTGTTCTGTCCTCTTTCATCGAGCCTCTGCCGCTCTACTGGGAGTACTCATCTCTATTGGAGTGGATGTTGGCTGCGTGCTCTCACGTTGTTGGTTACTTACGGGAAAGGATGTGCAGCTTTTTAATTAACTCTGAAAAGACATTGTTTTGTAGTAGTAAAGCTTATTTGTAACTTGCTTAAATGTATAGTCTGATAAACATGGTAATATATAATACTAGGTTTTGGTAAATTGTAGAATTAAATAATAGAATATGTCAGTATATTACTTGAGGTCTTTTGGTAAGCACATGCCATGATTGAGTTAGAAATGTAAGAGATTTTTCGTGGGATAGCATCAGTACAGAATAAAGGCCAGGAGCCAGAGTAGGTAATCATGTTGAGGATCTGGCACCTGTTAAAGGTGAGGAAAAAAGGTGGGAGGAATTTATTAAAAGCAACTTAGACTGTGGCGGCACTGGAAGAATCTCTGGCAGCCCAAATAGGAAAACAAGCACGTAGATTGCCTGTAGAGGAGTATGATACTAAGCAAAAATTACCAGGTACTGGGGTTTTTGTTCCTTCAATGAGCATTATCCAGGCCTGGACTTTAAACACTGCTGTAGATCCTAAAGACACTATAACAGAAAGACTGTCGGCAACTGCTCTCCTTCTGGTAGGTTTTCTCTATTTTGACTTATGTAGGACAGAATAAAACTGCCCCCATAGGTTTCTAAGACTATACATCTTTGAAAGTCTCATCTTTTCCTGGGGTGTGGCAATGGGCTGTCAAACCATTTTATTGAGGACTCGGGGGAGCTGAAAGAATGAAGGCAATGAAATTCTGTACTTTTTCTGCTGCCCCCCCC